TTCGGTCTGAACGTTTGCTCTCTCTGTGGGTGGTGGTAGTACTCCACGAAGTTCTGCAGCAGGTCTCGAGCTATCCCCCTGCGAGGGCACATCCTTTGTTGTGGGAATTTCTTCCCCTTCGCAACGACTGCTGTCCTTACGGCTCACTGTTGTCGCACGCTCCATCCCACAGTGGGTGGTCTTCTCGGTCAATGGCAGGAGAACTCCCCCGGGACTCACAGTGGTTCTGGTGCTGTCCCCCTTCGAAGGCGTCCCCCTTGTTGTTGGATCTCTCTCCTTGTCACTTCGAAGCCTGTTGCGGATCTTCCTCGCTTTCGGCAACAAAGTGCGAGCTCTGGCGGGGAACCGTGCCACGAAGGCACGAGTTTCGTCTGCTTGTAAAGGGAGGTACTTGTCAACGATGTGAAAGAGCTTGTCTGCTTGTCGCGCATCTTCATTGCGGCTTTCGTGGCGTTGAAGGAAAGCTCTATATTGTGTCCCCTCCTGCTTGCTGAGGGCCGTGCTGGTAGCTGTGTCCACATACTCCCCCTCCTCAGTCTCCTCAATCTCTCTGCTGATCCAAGCATCCAATGGCTCGGGATCATAAAGGAGCACCACCCCCTTTCGGGTGCGAAAGCCAGTCATCTCGCTCAACGGTCTGGTTGGAGCCGAACTGCTACTTCCCCCGTCCACGGGAGCAGCACTTGAGGGAATTCCCCCCCTTTGTTCTTGTGGTGGGCTTCTGCTTCGGGCTTTCGGTGAAGCTGTGGCTGCTGAAGTCACCCCGTATAATCTGCATGCTGGATCGGTGCGAACATGTGATTTTCGCATCCCCACCGTACACACTCCTGATCCCAGTCTGCATAGTTTGCACTCCTCCGCCATGATCGTCACTATGTCGCGGCCGATGCCCAAAAATCACGACCGTTTGGATGACGTACTCCCCCACCCAGCCAGTAGGTACAGTGAGCACGCTGTCCCAAGGAACGTAAAGGCCTGCGGCTCGTAGTTGACCGTCCCCCTTTCAGCAGGAACGACGGTGGAGAAGGACTTGCAGTTGCTAGGTCGTTCTCACTGTCAAAGGTATCACAAACTCTCCCTTGAGGACGATGGCTCGCACAGCTATCCCCCCGAGTTTTGGCCACTGGAACCAAACAGCAACGACGGTTGGCCTCAAGCCTCCCCCCGCCCGGGGCTCGTCCACCCAATGAGCAAGCTGGGGACAGCCAGCTAGCTCAGAGGGCCGGCCTCAGGCGCCCCCCAAAGGAGAGCGGCGGGTCGACTTGAGCCAAAATGGCTACTCTCTCTCTCTCTCTCTCTCTTCCTCTCTCCTCGCACGCAGTTGCAAGAAGCCTGTCCCTACATCCCTCCCCACACTTCAGCCCAGCGACTCGCCAACTCTCCACAAATGGCTTCCAGCCCACGTCGCTCCTTAAGAAGCCACAGCCGGAACTTTCGGCAAGTTCTACAACACAGCTCCCCTCTTCTTTGCCAGCTTGCTCGTTGATGTACAGGACGCCGCCCCGAGACACCGTCGCCGGGCTCGCGTGCTTCATGTCCTGCAAAGCGAAGGCTCAGGGGCCCAGGATGGCCCAGGGGGCGGGGGCCGCAGCGGCCCCGGCGCCTGGATCTCCAGGAGCATCCGCATGGTCTGCGTGAAAGGGATCCGCTCGTTGCTCACCAACGTCAGCACCTGGAGACAGCCGGCGTCCGTTCCTGGTGGCGGAGCACTGCTGCCACCGCTTGCGCCTTGTTGTCGTCCATGACGGTGTTCATGGACTCGATCCAGGTGGCATCGATGTCGCCGTCCAGCACCACCCACTTGTGCAGGTGGCTTGCCTTGTAGCCGTTCATCTCCTGACAGGCCGAGCCCGACGACACCGAGTCGGCGTCGTGTCGCAAAGCGCAGGGACTGCAGGCCTTGCTCATGTTCCGCATGATCACGGAGACCGCGCCGTCCTTCCATTCCCCCTGAGACAGCGGCACTAGCGGTCACTAGCCGTCAGCGGCCAGCAGCGAGAGCCGGATCCCGGGCGCCGCCCGCCTTCTCGATGGTTCCATAGAGTTCATCGGCGGTGATGGCTTTGGGATTCACCTGCTCCCATTTGCAGTCCTGCAGCTCTTCCGACACTCTCAGCATCTCACAGCAGTGTCGCAGGGCATGTCCTCACCGATGGCGATCAGTGCCATTTCCAGGGATCGCCAGATCTCCGTCTTCCCCGCGCCCGTGGGCCCGATAATGAAGCAGCAATGCCGAACCTCACGCAGCACGCATGCGCACGCATGCAAGCAAGAAGCATTGTATTCTCTCCTTCAAGATGTCCAGGAAATCCACCACTTTGTCCAAGAAACCTGCGGGGAGGTGCACGGAAGCACGGAAGCACCGTTTGAGGCGGCAAGCGGCTCTCTGCGCGCCTCCATCCGGCTGGAGCCCCCGTGCCTCGAGGGCGGCAGAAAAGAAGAAGAAGAAGACGAAGGCCAAAAACGAGGGCGACGCCCCGGCCCGGCCCGGCCTTGACCGTGTCCTCACAGACCTTCCTGAACTTTGGATCCAGAAAGGGTTTCGCCTTCACGCCTCGCAGAGAGCCGAGCCGAAGGCCGAGCTCCGAAGAGAGACAGAGAGAGACACTCGCAAGCGCGGAAGTTTGGGCCTGGGAAGAGGTCCTGGATGAGACGCTGGAAGATGGGCAGGTCCTGACTGCTGCAAGTGCGATCTTTCACCCATGACCCCCTCCCACAGCAGCTCCCGCCTGCGTGGTGATCTTGGGCAGGTTGAAGTCGCGCAGGGCCCTGCAAAGGACCACGTTCTCGTCGTTGTCCGGCTCCTTGCCCTTCAAAGACCCCGCCTCTCAGCTGAGCTTTGGCTTTAGACACACTGCGGACTGCCCTCTTTCTTGCCTGACGAAGCAAGGATTTCACCGCTCGCAGGCCCCAGTCGTAGTGCATCTGCTTCGAGAGCAGCTCCTCCGCTGAGGAGGAGAGGAGCGCAGTGCTCTGCTCTCTCCGCTCCGCTGCTGTGCTCTTCTTTTAGAGAGACTCTCTCATTCTCATTCCGTCCTTCGAGAGCGAATAGAGCGTGACCTCTTTTTCTCTTTTGAAGTTGCAAGCGACGCTTCTCAGCCTGTCAGTCCGAGGGCGCTGCGAACTTGTGTGCCAGAAGCCGTGCGATCGTGAAGCCCTCGGACATGAGCATGTTCTCGCCTCAAGCCACGAAAGCCACGAATCACAACGCCTACAAATTTTGGATCCGATGCAGAATTCGGAGGAGGCACAAATGAATTTCAGGTTCGGAACTATCATCGCCACTGACCGGAACAGGGCCTAGCAGGAAAAGCGGGAAGATGCAGGTTTGGAACTGAGGCACTGCAATATGAGGCCTTCAGGTTTTCAGGCAGCTCAGTGCGGCCAGCATAACCAGGATTCCTGCGGCGCGGAAAACATGCGTCAGAGCAGTCAGGCAGTCAGCTGCGGCATCCAGCTGCGGCATCAGGTCATCTATACGAGCATGTAGGGCCCAAACGGCGCCAACGTGCCCAAGGGAGGACCCGGGGGAGCGCAAGAGAGAGAGCGTCTTCCAAGGACACGCAGGCACCCGTCCAAGGCAGCACAGCTCTCGACCCTCATCTCAAAGGATTCGTGGGAGGCGCGCGCGCGCTTCCAAAAACGAACGGAGGAGCACAGGCGCGAGAGCACGGGAGAGAGAGAGCTGCGCTGGAGATGATGGGCGCTCTCCGCTCGCATCGCTCGGCTCTGCTCTGCTCTGAGGCTCTGAGGCCCCGGGCATGGTGATGAAGGCGCCGCAGGTCTTGATCAGCCGCAGCTCCTCCCCCAAGCACCCCGGAAAGCGCGCCCTCCGCCCTCCGCAAAGCAAAAGCAGCAAAAGCGGCGGTTCTCTTTCTCTCCTCATCCACGAAGAGGAAGGTCTTGCTGTTCGCACGGATGGCATCCAAGACGGACTTGTATTGTGTGGAAACCACCGACAAGACCTGGCGAAGAGAAGGGAAGGAGCAGAAGGCTGACAGGAGCGAGATGACCGAAGGACGCGGTCCTCGATGGAGATCCGGTTGAACTCATCGAAGCAGCCCCAGGCACCAACCTGGCAAGACTTGAGAATGGCCAGCGGCCAGTCCGTCTTCGTCCCTCTTCGTCACGTCTGGTCGCCTGGGCAAGGCCCATGAAAATCTGCGCCGTCGTCTGGTAGGTCATCTGGTCACTGCAGTTGAACCTGAGAGACAGCGGTATACATAGACGTAGAGACATAGAGGGCTCTCCGCAGAGAACAGAAACGGCGTGGGGGGGGGCCCCTTCTGCCAAGCTGCACGACAATGGGCAGGCCCAGGGCCCTCGACAAGTCCTTCGTGGTCTCCGTCTTCCCGGTCCCTGCCGGCCCCGCGGGAGCACCTGCGAGGCGAGCACGGAGCGGGAACAGAGAGACTCTGCGCGCATCTGCATGAACTGCGCATCCCCTCACCACGGCCTCCCAAACAAAGGTTCAAGGCCTGGCCAGCGGCACGGAGCAGGGCCCCTTCCCCTTTCCCTTGTCCCCTATGCAGGTCAATACGTGCCTGCGTCAGGGTGATGTAGCCTCGGCGCTCTTGCAGAGGAGTCGTTTCCCGCCCATGCTCGCACTCTTTCGGTCTGGAGGCATCGGTCCGTCAGAGGGGTGATGACCAGCCTCCCAACGTTGCCCACGTACTCCTTGGCTGCCCACAAGCCGCGCAGCCAAGTCAAAAAAAACCAGCTGCACCACTGCTGCGGACGCGGCGTAGGAGTAGCAGGTGGCCCAGTCGCAGATCCGGATCAAGCAAGTCTTCTGCTGTGCCTTGGAGGATTTGGCGGACAAGGGCCACGGCTTAGAAAGCCTGTGCACGCGGCGGGAGTGAAGGACACCAGGTTCAGGCCTCGCTACAGCAGAACGCAGCCGAGAACACATATATATTATGGTCATATGGCTCAGAGGGGAGGGGAGAGGACTCAAGGCCTGGCCTGGAGGGCACATCTGCCAGTAGAAGCGGAGCTGGGAGCCCCACCTCTCGGAACAAAAGGGAACCCCCCGCCACGCGGACATGGCTGTGTCGCCACGTCCGCACATGTCGGCAACGCGACGCGCGCAAAGGGGCCTGAAGTCGTTGGCTTCGTTCACCTTCTGCAGGACGAAGGATTCGATGACGTCTCTGGAATGGACGTCCTCGGCGCCCCCCCGACATGTAGAGGGGACGCGACTCCGAGTCCAATGCTTGAGCTCTCGACGATGGTAATGATGGTGATGACCTGGCAGCACCACACATCTTGCAAACGGAAAGGCGCGTCAACTTTGGAGCCGCGGCCCGGCGCCTTGGTGCGCAGCTCCCTGTCGGACTCCTTCTGCACGCGTCGAATCAGCTTGTCAATCCGATCGTCGTTCACCTCTGGAGCTTCAGATACCATCTGTGACTGCAACCATTTTTTCAGAGCCATTCGAAAACAAGATGATGATGCAAGAGTCACTACATGTCCCCCCTTAATGCAGAGCCCACTCAACACACCGTGGTCGGGGTCCCACGAATGCCAAGGGCGTCTGTTTCGAGCTTTGGAGGATATTTTTACAAAGAAGCTTTCAGGAGGAGCTCGTGGTGGTCGTTGCGGACGTGTGGCCCGCTTGTAGTCCCGCATGGCCGTCTCGCTGCCTGCCTGGCCAGTCGGGAGAGAGCCGGCGGCGGCAGGCGGCACCCGGCACCGCGCGCCTCCATGTCCTCGAAGGCCCGCGCCGTCTCCTGCACACTGTCACTGCACTGTCACTGCACTGTCACTGCCATGCTTCGGCCCTCCAAACCCCGAAGACCCCCCACCTCCGTCCAGATGATCTGAGTGGCCAAGAGGCTCAGCTGGGCACAGTATTCGTCGAGCCTGAATGCACCGAAGAAAAAGCTCTGAGACTTCCTGCACTCTGTGCACTGTGCGAAGCTCGTGCGAAGCTCGTGAAGCGAAGCTGAGCGCAGAAGCCACGTCTCACGAGGCCTCTCCAGCGCGCGGTGCAGCGGTGCAGGCGCTGCGGTGCAAGAAGCTCGCGCGCGCGCGCCGGCCGCGCTTGTGTCGGCCTGTCTCCCACCTCCCAGCTTTCCGCAGAGGTCCGCGCCTGCCCAGAAGAAACGTGACGTTTGACTGTGCTGTGTTTCTCTCCATGGCCTGCTCCAAGATTTCTCGAAGCGCCAGGCGCACGTGGGCCTCGAGGCCCGACAAGTACTGCTCCACGGGGCCCTGGTAGGAGGCAGGCGCTCGCGCTGGCCGCTGGCTTTTCCCCCCCCCCAAACACCGCCTCCAGCTGGAAGGGGCCCGTCTCGGACGGCCAGGCCACGAACTGCGCACGGTCAGTTTAGCTCTCCCTCAAATCCTCTTCTCCCCCTTCCAACTCTTCCCACGCCTCGCCGTCTTTGGCCCGGTGGCCGCAGGCGATGCGGCCGAACTGCGGGTCTTTGGAGAAGTCCAGGGTGCCTCGCCGTGAGCCACGTGCCAATGCCAAGACTCGCGTTCTGCATGATGTGAGTCCGCAAGCTGGGGGTCCCCCTGAAAGTGGAGGAGGAACGGTGAAGCCAACCCACCCTCCGTTCCCCCCAACCAAGTCAACGTGCGCCTACTGCCCTCCCAAGAGGGGCTCCTTCGACACATACACGTGAGCCAGTCCGGTTGGGGATGCCGACGATTAATTCCGCTGAAATCGTATATACGCCGAATAAATTCCATCACCAACACGATCGCACTAGGCACCTACATGCTGTACTCCAGTTTGAGCGTGGTAGCTCGCTCGTGCTCTCGTTCCATGGCTCCGTCATCCTCTGGTCTTGGGTAGCTTTGGTTGGGTAGGCCCTGTCATAGATATTGCCTCTGCCCCAACTCCAGTCTTCAAGCTAAGGGGCGGATCCCGTCAAAGACGTCGCCCAAGTATTCGGCCACCTCGGAGAAGGACACACAGTGCACAGAGTTCTCGTGAGCATTTCTCCCGCCTTTAAGGGCTTGTTGCCGTTGGAGAGGATGTCCAGCAAGGCCCCATTGGCGACGAAGTAGAACCGTGGAAAATACTTCTTCTTCTGCTCCAGATAATCGTTCCTGAGTCCAATCATGTCGTTTTTACACATCGCCTGGGCCTGCAAGCTGACGCTCCAAGCATACATGTTATGTCTTCGCCAAGGAGCAAGGAGCGCTCGCAGGTATCCAAGGCATCGCTGATATCGGCCCTCAGAGCGCAGTGGTGCCAGAGAGGCAGCGGTGGCTCCTCCCCCAGATTCCTGCCAGCCCTTTGCTGTAGGCTCCCTGCAAGGTCTGTGCGCGGCCCTCGGCCATGCAGATCTCCACGATCAGAGACGACCTGGATGCCTCCGCAGACCAGCAGGCGTCACAGGGCTGAACAGCCCATCAGATCCTTGCCTCCATCATCAAATCCTGCGCAGACACGCAGACAGCCCCCCCCCCCCCCCCCCCACACTCTTTAACCTCACGACCGGCTCCTTCCAGCTGTTGTCCAAGAGCTCGAAACGCTTTGAGTCATCCGGGAGTTGTGATCGGATGTCGTCGCTTTGCATGAAGATGGGCCTCGTGGAAGGCTTTTGAGGCACACTTGGCTTACGCCTCGCGCGTGTTTTCTCTCGCTGCTTTCCAAGAGGCTCCAGGCGGCACCAGTTCACTTGGAATTTCCGCCAGACCTCGGCTCTCCAACCCACCGTCCGAGCTTCCCGAAAGGAGTCCCCCACCTGCAGGACCGCATCGACCGTTTGAAGCTTCTCGCTCCACTCGTCCACTGTGGGCTTGCAGAACTCGATGAACCGGCCCTCTCTTTGAAGAGAGCACAGAGACACGATCTATACATGTGTGAGAGTCTAAAGCGCAGCAGAGAGCCAGTTGTTAAAGGTGTGTGCGTCGGCGCCTGCGAGGCCATGGACAGCATCTCTAAGGAGTCCGACTCCAACCGCTCCAGCACCTCTTTTTCAACCAATCTAAAAAGGGGGGGGAGCTCTCTCTCTCAGACCACCTCCGAGAGGTCTGCGAGCAAAGGACAGTCCTCCCACAAGAGGAAGAGAGAGATTCGCAGATGAGAGTCAGCTGCGCTCCGCTCCGTGCTCCGCTCCGTGCTCTGCTCCTCGCGGCCGTTGTCGAAATCCACGCTCATCTTGGACCAAGTCTTGCGGATGCCATCCAACTTCCCCTCCTCACGCGACTCAGGCTCACAATATAGGCTCACAGTTCGAGGCGGGTTGTTGCGCTGTTGCGCCGACTTGGCTCCACGCGATCTTGGCTTCTTTGACACTCTGGTCCACAATGTCGTAGACATCAGACCTCTCTCGTTTTGGAGCCGACTTGCAACAAGAACACGACCCGGCCGACTTGACCCCTTGAACGGCGAGCGGCGAGAAGTGGTGCAACTCCAGCTCCAGAAGGTGCCGGAAGCTGAACTCTGGCCCCTGCCAAAAGAAGGAAGGGCATAGCTGAGGGCACATTAGCTCCGCCTACGCCACCGCTGCAAAGGAAGGCACCTTCTCGAAGGTCTTCTTGGTGACGGCCATGAGCAAGGCCCAGTGGCGGTCGCGCATGGTGTCCGAGTGAAGCTCCTCAGCGCGATTTCGACAACCTCCGAAATCTGCCTTTCGGCTTCTCGCAAAGATTCTGATGTCGAAAGAAACTGACCCGCGAGAAGGTTAGAAGGGCATGACACACGCGGAGAGGCACACCTTTTATATGCACACCCGAGTGAACCTTGAGTGCTGTTGACCACATCTGGCTACCATTTCTACACGTCAGCACGGCACGAGGCTAGGACAGCTAGGACCCAAGTGAAACTGGGTGCCGCACATTGACCAGCGGCAGCGCTGCAGACATATTCTTCACCTGTGCAGTGGGATGCAGCACAAAGGCCGCAACGGCTCTTGCTACGTCCTACGTCTCCAATATCATTTGACGAAGTTGATCTGCTTCTCGCGGAATTGCTCTTGAATGCAGTCTGTCGAGCCGCGTTTGGAGTGTAGAAATACCGGGTGCTGCCACCCTGACCCTGAGCGACGAATCCGCTGAAGTCAGAGAGGTCGGGCCCTCAAACTGTACCCTAAACCCCTGCTTGTTACTTCACCCCAGAGGGGGGCTCAGCGCATCACAGGGTCTCTATGCGCCGCGCCGCGCGGTGGAGTGCCGCGCGCAACGTGCAGTGCTAAGCGAATTCCGTGACTCTCTTGCCGACTCTTGCCCTTTGTTGAGGCAGACCATTGCTTCTTGGACTCCAAAAAATCGCTGGAAAAAGCCTTGAGACAAGGGCCAAAAAAGAACGGCTAGACGACTCAACTCTCAAAGGGGGGGCCTCATCCTGGATCCAAGCATAGAGGGGCCAGGCTCGGAGCCCCTTCTGCGCGCTTCGGACCTGCGGCAGCGCACAGCCGCACCGCCGCAGCGCCGGGGCCCAGAGCCCTGCACTCCGCGCCTGCTGCGCCAGCTCGCGGACGGTGACCAGCATCTGCCCGGTGTCGATCTTCTCCCAGGGCACCGTGTACCTGAAAGAGTCTCATTGGCGAAGAGCCTCCCAAAGCCCCTGAAAACGCCCGGGTCTCCACGCCAGGCCGAGAAGGTCTCGCGCACCAAGACGATCAAGTCCTTAGAGTTTTTGCAAGGGAGAGGCAGGGCCCCTGCAACGTCTGAGCTGGCGGCCCAGAGGTTCTTCAAGAGGATCAGATTGTTCAGGCAATCGTTCCTCGCAGAAAGGAAGGTCTGCAAGCGCGGCCCCACCGAGTGCGAGTCGCAGAATAGCCCCCCCTGCCCCCCGGCCCCCCCCCCACCCCCCGCAGCTCTCGCAGCGAAGACCGCTTCCGACATTCTCAACAGCCCCACTTAAACTCTGCGGCCTGCTACCTGCTCTGAAAAGTCATCAGGGAAAGCAAAGAGGCACCCGGCCCACCGACACAGCGCCTGCTCTCAGGAGATCTGAGCCGGGCAGAGCCGGGCGCTGGGGCCCCCGGCAGCGGCCGGTAGTCGGACATGGCCATGTCAAAGAGCAGCTCCAGGTCCTCGGAGAGCCGCGCGCAGCCCGCGTTTCGCCGCGTTTCGCTTTTCGCCGCCGCTTTTCGCCGCCATGATCTCTTTTTGGCAACGAGGGCCGGGCGTTGAACTGCTCGGCGCGAGCTTGGATCTCCATGGTCTTGCCATAATACTCGTTGATGATGGCATAACCTGGGTTGATGTTTTGCCGTCTCTAGAAGTCCTCTTGCCTGGCTCGGCAAGGCCGCCAATAAAAGTGTGTGTCCAAGGCACTCTTGTCATAAGAGCCGGTGACCGCATGCTCACCTCGTCTAAACGCACGCAAAGGGCCCCCACAGCACAGAGCCGAGAAGATCCGTTCCAATTCCCAGGCTCGCCACTTCCAAAAGGACAGCGCTCCAGAAACTCGAACCTGAGCCCAGGCAGAGAAAACACGCATCAGAGATATGACTCTAACTTGAAAAGATACCCAAATAGAAGCAAGCGTCTTTCTTTCTCTCTCTCTCTGACCCCGGACTCCGCTCGGAGCAAGGACTGGCAACGAACCCAAGAGTGAAGCCTTCGCCATGAGCTGCCTGCCTCTGTCCTATAATCACCCTCAGAGCAGAGAGGGCTCTCGCACTTCAAGACACGTCTCTTGAGCACCCTGAGAGCTTTGGCTTTGGCCCGGACCGGAAGTTCCGCACGTCTTCCCGGAAGCCCTCGATCTTCACGCGGATCTTCTGCATCTCCTGGCACAGCAGCGTCTATGGAACTCACAGGGACGCTGCTGGGACGCTCTGCCTGGTTTTGTAAAGGCAAGATCTTCTCCTTCTCGTTGAAGGCAGCCCGGTCTACCTGAGAGTGGCGCGAAGCTTTGCGGTGACGGCGGCGGCAAGGCCTCGCCAGGGCCTCGCCTCGGCCCAGTGGGCGGGCGCTTGCTCCAGGCTGTTCCATCGCTCCTCCGCAGGCCGAGCCGAGACTGGGCGACGCTGCTACGCTGCGGATGGCGCGCCCCGCGCCGGTCCCGCGATGCGGAGGGGGTTTTCTTCGGAAGAGTTGAGAAGTGCTCCGATGCAGTGGAAGCGCCAGTGCCGGCCAAGCTCCTCTGAGATGGGAGCACGAGCGTGCTTCTTCAACATCTGCACCTAGGAGAAAGGGATTCTCTCACTTCATCTCACACTCTGCCTATCCAGAAGGCGAGCCTGCTCACGAAGGGGGTGGAATAACCTCTCGCCAGAGGTTCGCAAGAAAGGAACCGGGAGGGGAAGGCTCTGAGCGGCCTCTGCATGGCGCCGCGTGCCAGCTTCACATCCCGGATTTTGGTCATCCTGAAGGACAGAACAGGGAAGAGGCCTGACGCGAGTTGGGGGGGGGTAACTCTAGTCAATTTGGCGAGCTGCGTCTGGTAGAGCAGGCGCTCGTCCTCAGGTGCAAAGAGGCAGAGAAGAGCCTAAGAAACGGGGCGGGTTCCCCTTTTTGCCCGACCTCCGGGTTCTCGGCGGCCGAGGGCGGCCCCAGGCCAGTCCTCAGCAAAAAAAAAAAACACACGCTTCATGGCCATGCACCCCCCTTCGCTGCTCTCTTTCGCAGCGCTCGCTTGTCTCGCCGCTCTCTCTGTCCTCACCGAGTCGATGAAGGCGCTGAGCGAGGCAATGCGGTCCTGTAAGCATGGACATGGGAGCTGTGCCCCACTCTCCGCGCTCGGCGCGGGGCCTCCAGAAAGCCACGTAAGAAGCCGGTGAACTTCTCTTCCCACTTCCGGGCGCAATTCACCAAGGTCACCTGTACTCACTGTACTCTGCAAGGCATATTTAAACAGTTGCAAAAAGGCCCCCAAAAGCCCAAGCGGGCCAAAGAATCACCTTCACGGGCTGCGCGTCGATGCGGAGCCAATGGATATCTGTAGGGGTCTTCTTCATAGACAGCTCCTGGTTTCTGTCAAGACAAAACCCCCCCCCGAGGTTCAGAGAGAGAGAGAGAGAGAGAGAGAGCGGAGTGTGTGCTCCTGCTTCAGGTGCTCGAAGCGCGTGACCTCCTTCTCGAAGCGCTCCAAGGGTGGAATCGGCGGGCCCAGGTCCACCTGAGAGAACACCGGGGCCTTCCTTTTCAACGTTCTCCCCTCTGATACGCCCCGATATACGCGCCCCCCTTAGAAAAGCGAAGCCCGTGCGGGAGTGTCAGCCCTAAGCCCCTTCTAATCGTCACACTTCGCAAGAAGCATCCCGGGGGGCACGAAAAAATGCCTTGATGCGGTGCATGATCTCCCGGAAGGTCATGCCACCTTCGGAGAAGTCAACCAGCTCCTGGCTCTCTGGACCCGGATGTCGGACAATTTGTGCTGCTGCTGTGCGGGAGTCTTGCACGGAGTTGCAGTGAGAAAGCAGTTAAGGCAAGTGCTTATCTCGCACTTGCATAGCAGCAATGCTGCACTTAAGCTCAACATGAGCTTCTGTCGCACTTGACACGGACGGCCGTCATGAGATTTCGGCTCCACGCCTTCGGCTGCTCTTGCAGGAACCGGTCGAAGGTCTTCTCGACCTGAGCGGCCGCACAGAAGAAGCTGTTAAGCCACGAAAGAGAGCAGGGAGCGAAGGGAGCGAAGAGGCTCGCTCCGGAGCCCTGAACCAAAGATGTCAGACCCGAACCATGAACCCTTGGTATACGGCTGAACTGCTCAAACTCAAACCGATTGGCAGCAATGGTCTGCTGGTTATGTAGCACGCTAATTAAGTGCTATGGCGGGTCAGGCCCCGAATCGTTCAAGCCACTACTGTGTGCTGGCACATGCGACAGAATCCGAAGAGGCTTCAGTGGGGTGACTGATTTCTTTGTTTTCTGTTGACTCAGGGGGCATGTGGAAACATTGACGAGAATAACTGGTCTGCCAGCAATTGCAACCGTTGATGCCAATCCTGCACATGTCCCTCGTGTGTGTGTGTGTGTGTGTGTGTGTGTGTGTGTGTGTGTGTGGGTGGGTGTGGGTGTGGGTGTGGGTGTGGGTGTGGGTGGGGGTGGGGGTGTG